AGTAAAGGCAACACATTATAGTACAGGTATCCCATATTCTCTCCATAAGTAGCTGGACAGACGATGAAGCTATAATTTAGAGTTATCATCTCCCTCTGCAGAGACAAGAAAATTAAAACAGGCTGAGTTTACTGATTCTAACATCTTGAATGTTGCAACACTCTTTAAATGCCAGCAGGATTAAAACAAGCAACAAATTCCTCATTTGATTTCTTGATAGGTTCTACTCAAAAGAAAGATGCACTGAAAAATTCTGTAAAATTCACTGCCTACTTGTAGTTCTATATAAAACATAAGTGAATTCTGTGCTTAAACTTACATCCTACTCCCAAGATATCTCAAGATCTATATACAATATTCCAAAATTTGAAACAATTCTGCTCCCAAGAATTTTGAGTAAATGATAACTCTGCTAGTTTCCTTCTTTGGGTGCTCAGAAGGAGGACTCTGGGGGAACCCTTGGGATTTCTTACTGCTTTCTGCCTAGTAAGTAGGTTTAGCATGTCTTTGGCCTCCAACTGCCTAAAGCACAGATTTAGATAGAATGTGAAGGCATCAGGCAAGCAGCCAGAATCTTCAAATCTGGCACGACCTTGCAAAGCCAGCAAGGACAGAATACTTCTGGATTCTGCAAGCTCTGGCTCTGTTCCTTTGAAAGTACTGGCAACAAAGTTGGCGCTGGTACAGGGGCTTAAGCATTTGCATCAGGACAGCAAGTCCCAAAAGACTCTTTTCCCCCTTGTCCCTTTATGCCAGTCTTTAGCACCAAAGTCTCATGATTTCCCTGTCTTTCTTCAACTACATGCAAAAAACATTAAGTACTCAAGTCCAGGAAGGATTGGGCTTGGATAGTCAGGCAGAGGTGAATGTTTTCTAACTAAATTTCACAGAGAAGTGAAGTCTTCCTTGTACTCAGCACTCCAAGCCCCAAGTCCAGATTCTGTTATGAAAATTCCATCTTGGAAAACCAGGCTGTTGATCTGGCAAGATGGCTCAAAAGAGAAAGGTAGTGGCTGCCAAGGATAATGACCTAACCTAGAATCCTTATAGTGGAAGAGAAAATCAACTCCCACAAGTTGACCTCTCATCCCTGTATGTGCACCATAGCACATACCACCCACCACCAAACAAAAGCAAATGAAAAGACAGAAAGAAAAACAGAGATATCTGTAATTAAGGGAAGGGAATCTTTCCCAAACAGGTTGGGAGGTCAAGAAGAAAATATTTTAAGAATAAGAGTTTAGCTGGGTGTGGTGATTACAGGCCTTTAATCCAAGCACTTGAGAGGCAAAGGTGAATGACACTCTGTAAGTTCGAGTCCAGCTAAGTCTACATAGAGAGTTTTGGGACAGTCAGGGTTACATAGAGAAACCCTGTTAGAGAGAGAGAGAGAGAGAGAGAGAGAGAGAGAGAGAGAGAGAGAGAATATAATAGAGTTTAGCATGAGCCAGGCAGTTTTTATTTTTATGACAATCTTTTCTGATATTTCATTTTATAGTTGAAACCTCTGAAGTGTACTATCAATATAAGTGAGTACATGTCTGCTGCTGATGTTATTGTGAGAGTAGATTGAACCCATTTAGTGTTTCTTAGGATCTGTGTATTTAATACACATTTTCTCTCTTCTGGTTCCCATTCTCCCTCTCACCCTCCCTCCTTTCTCCAACATTCCATTACTCTTCTCAAGATCAAAGTGCAAGCACAGAGTCATTCACTTATGAATAGACAAGAGAGTAATCTTCACTACATCATCAATGTCTGCCTATATTTCTATTCTAGTCTGTCCCCACAAACAAGTTCCAGCTTCACTAACTGGTACATAAACTGGCTCCCGATAAACTCATTTTGTTTACATGAATAGACAAGTAGAAAAACAGAACAGGGAAAAAAAATCTATGAGCAGATCCCAACATGTAACAGTTCATCTGAAAAAGCAAAGATGGGTCCCTGCAATTCCCTGAGTATTTATGCTAAACACACACACACACACATTCACATGGAAGAAAATCTTAATACTCTGAGGGTGGTAGGAGTTGTAGGCTTTGGGAAGTGACAAATGTCAGAGAGCAGAGCCTTCATGAATGGAATTAACATCTGTGGTGGTTTGAATAGGAACATAGACTCATACATTTGAATGCTTAGTCATCAGGGAGTGGAACTATTTGAGAAGGATTAGATGATTAGGAGCTTGTGGTCTTCTGGAAGAAAGTGTGTCACTGGGGGGGGGGTGAGGGGGATTAAGTACTCCAGAAGCCCATGCCAGGACCAGCACCTTCATCCCTCCTCATCCACAGATCAGGATATAGTTCTCAGCTTCTGCTCCACCACTTCCCGAATGTCACCAAGCTTCACACCACGATGGTATTGTGTAAGCAAGCCCCCAGTTAAAATCTTTCTTTCATAAGAGTTGTCCTGGTTGTAGTGTCTCTTCACAGCAGTAGCACTGTGATTAAGACAACACCTTAACAGAGGAGTCCAGAGGCATCCCTCACCCCTCACCCACATCAAATTACTGAGAAAACTGGGTCTCAGCAAACAACGAGTCTGCCTTTCCTCCATCTTCTAGTTTGTGACTTCTAGAATTAAGTGTAATGAATGACTATTATTTATTATCTATATATCTTGATTTTAAAAAATTATTCAGTCCTCTAATCTATAGTATTTTACTATAATAAATCAAACTGGAAGAGTCAATTCTCAACATAAAATGTTGGGCTAAATAGTCTTTGAGAAACAAAAAACATTTTACTTAAATTCAAAGATCTAGGGGAGAGATTTTCTATGGTTACAGATTAGGTACTCTGGTTTTTTGCATAAACCAGTTCAGTCGTCAGTCTAGGACCAAAATAGCATTAAAATCCCCTATTGACAACGTGGTGCTTGGTTTTGAGTACCTGGAGGAGAGGAGAAGTCAAAGGGTAACTCAATAAACAGGCAGGATGCTGATAACTCTTTACGCAGGAGACCTAATCTCTAGGTTGAGAACAAGTTGGAGAGAAATGGGATTGAAAAAGACTGTTACACACAAAGACAAGTATAGACAGGCCGGCTGATTTTAAAAGTAAAACAATGCTCTCGGATTGAAAATACTTTTTTTTCCTTTGTATCTAAAATATGGCTATTTTTAATTGATGACAATTTTAGTTAAAAGTACTTATTTTAATCCAATCTGTATACTAATTACTTTGCCTCCATTCTGTGAAAATCTTCCCTACGATCTTTTTTAAAAAACATTCTATTGGTTCTTTGTGAATTTCACATCATCAACACCAGTGCAACTCAGCTTCCCTTTACCTAGAACCTGCCCTCCACCCATGCAACCTCCCCTACAACAGAGGAAAAAATCCCACTGTGAAAGCTGTAGTGTGTCACAGTGTGTCCCATAGTATAACCTTTTGTCCCCACGTCTTTGTTTGCCAGTGTTCATTGCAATGAGTCACTGGTCTGGCGTCTGCTACACTGTCAATACTGGATCTTCATTGGGACTGTTCTAGGATGTCCTGTTATTGCCTTGTGTCATGGAGGTCCTGTAGTTTTGAATCTGTAGGACCAGCCCTTTATGCACTCCAGCAGTTAATTGATGGGGTAGATGTTGGGGTGGACCAATTCAAGGCCCTGCATCTGGACCTGAGAGGTATTCGAGCTGGTCAGCCTACCAGCTCTTTTGCATCCTTACCACAGGGGCTAGCTCCCACCCTGTCTTACCTGATCATCCAATGCCACCACCAGAAAGGGTCAGCACCAACTCTCACACTCTCATGCTCTCGTGGCTGGCTCACCTGCACCCATGCCACCAAGGCCAGCTCTACTGTGCTATCCAGGTGAGATGCAGGGCCTGTGTTGCAGCAAACAAAGTCCTGATATCCTGCTCTCATGATCACAGGGACAGTTCTCCTGCCTGATTTAGGTGGCGAGGGGCAAGGAGGGGGAACCTCGCTGTCACCCATGCCACTTCATGGGAGATGAGTGGTAGGGTCAGCTCTCCCATGTTCATACCCTCGGGGTTGGCTCACTCCCAACTCCTACACCTGGGGCCAGCTCTACTATGCTACTCAGGTGACGGACAGGGCCAGTTCTCCCGCTCTGATGACTTTGGGGCCAGCTCCCCACTACCTGCTGTAGGTATCGAGGGTTGAAGAAGAGGGTTCTCCCCTCACCCATGCCACTCCTTCCCACTGTGTGGGAGACAAGTGGCAAGGCCAGCTCTCCCATGCTCATATCCTCAGGAGTGGCTCACCTGCAACTCCTACAACCAGAGCCAGCTTTACTGTGCTTCCTGGGTGATGGCCTAGCTGCTCTCCAGAGTATTACTGCTGGCTATGGGCAGGATTAGTTTTCTAACTCTCATGTCTTCAGAGCAAGCTCTCTTGTGGTGCCCAGATGAGGGGTGGGGCCAATTCTGCACAGCCCTCAGGCATCAACATGTCCCTGGGCAGCAGCGCAGACCAGTAATGTCTGCCTGACCTTTGGTGGTAACAGACCCCCATTGCTGCAGGGCCAAGGACCCAGACATGGCTCCTGAAGGCAGCACAGGCTAAGATCCCATCACAGTCCTTGGTTGGGATCCTCACATCAGGCTGTTCTTCACTATTCTCAAGTCTCCAGTTCTGCCTCTCTTTGTGCCAACATTCTTCTGTTTCTCTTTCTCTTCATTTCTCTACCACTTACTTGCTCTCTTAGTGGGTCTTTGAATATCTAGAGTCATCTCACTAGTGGTCTCAGGAGTGCTACGCCCCACCCATACATTACGGGGTCATCTTGTTCATGATCTTTCCCCCACCCCCAGGGCCTGTGCTGCAGCAGACTGATGGTCATATTAGGCTAACTCTTTGTCTGGGGCCTATGGTGCTAGACTGGTGGTCATCTGGAGCTCACTCTTACCTGGGGCCCATGGGCCCAGGCAGAGTTTGTCTTGTCTCTGGTTTGATCCCACCCTGGAAGCTCATCTGGGTCTACATAGAGCTGGACTGGTGGCCATCTCAGGCTCTCTTTTTTCAGGGAGTCTTAGGCTACTATTCATTCAGATATTTACAGGTCAGAACACTGAGTATAGACATGGTCTCTCTCCTCTCTGCCACTTCCTGATATACTTGTGATACAGTAGCCACAAGGGCAAAGCCTCTAGGGGCAGTTCTTCCCTACAATCTAATGACACAGCTACTAATTTTTTTCAATTCTGAGTAAGCAAAGCCTTAAATACTATATGTTAGACCCACTAAGTTCACATATCCTAGTACTTAGTCTGTACCAATCAACCTATATTTAATGTGGCCTCAGAAAATCCAGGCAAGCTATAGCAGTTTCCATACTTAGAGGAGATTCTAGATGAGCCCTGGCCTCTTCACATCTGTCTTGCTTCTCTTTTAACCAGATAACCTCTGAACTTTAGCCTATTTATTGGCTTCATATTTCTGAGATTTCCTGCTATCTTAACGTGTGACCTGTTAGATAGTGACAATGTCTTATTCATTTTCATAGCTAACTGATTTCTATAGACTCCAAGTACTTGATTAACCCCTGTATCATGGCCTAGAAGTTACAATGTCCCTTGAGGGATGAATGTTTTGACATGGTCAACGATTGTTTGTACCAGATCAGAATATCAAGCCAGAAATAGTACCTTGGTTTTAGACTATAGACAAATGAAATTGTTTTGTCCTTTAGCCTATTTTAACATCAACTTTAAAAATCCCTTGTGTTATTTATGAACTCTGGGTTAAATGGTACTGAGGCCAAGATTTCCCATTTCCCTAAATAGTGTTGTTAAAGAAGGTTGTTGGCATTAGATGTCAAGTTTTTTCCTCAGGTGAACAAGATCAAGAACAAGAAGAAGAACAGGAAGAAGAAGAAGAAGAAGAAGAAGAAGAAGAAGAAGAAGAAGAAGA